ATAAATGTATAAAAAATGTATGAAATTCAGTTTGATTTAATCTCGTGTATACATCATACAGGATGTTTAAGTTGCATCAAACTAACATAATCTAAAAAGTAATTTTTATGTACAGTGAGCATCCTGTATTTAATGAAATAACTTTTTATATAACATCTGTATTTAATGAAATAACTTCTTATATAACATCTTTTCTCACTCTTCGTTCAAGTTGCAATATTGTGTTGAATTTTTCAGCATATCCATTGTTTTGGAAGATCTCTCGTTATACAACTTGTCAACCTTCGTGGTCAATAAGGCGAAACTATCTTTGATTGGGCCAATATTCGCGGCAAATATTTCATTGCCGGAAATACATATCGAGGGATTTTACAATATAACCGGAGATATCGGAAATACAGTCGATTTGCAAGGTGCAGGACCTTTTAAAGCAAATGTATATGATTTCCAATTGTATGTGAACAGTTTATTGGGATTCAGAAAAGGAGTGTACTTGAAGACTTTCTACATGGATTTTTCGCTGAGATCCATCGATATCAATTTGGAGAATTTCATGGATGATGATGAACTGACCGACGTTATGAACAAGGTAGAATCATTCAGTCAAATTGTTAGTAGTCAATAATTGTTGACTTGTAGCTTTGAAGCTTTTAGTAGATTGAGTTAGAAATCTCTGAATTTGAGTATTTTGTCCTGTGTAGCATCTTTTAAAGAAAAGAAAGAAGAAACATTAGGATATGAATAAATAGCAATCAAAATTTTGCCAATTTTTACATCTCAATAGTTTCTAAAAATTTTTGGTTGTATAACATGTCTCTTGCAAAGAAGTTGAGAGAGGAAACGGTCGAGATAATAATTGTTGCTTGTTTAATTTTCATGGTCAAATTTAATAAATTGATGGGATAGAAAAGGATCACGAAACTTAATTTACATACATTAATCCGTAGGTCGTTCGGGAGTTAACGCCAAAGGTAATAGAGTTTATTAAGCCAGATATACTTCCGGGTATCCAGAGTTACGTAGGTAATAAAATTAACGAGACCATTCGACAAATTACCTTAAAGGACGTGATGAGTGTGCTTGGCAATAATGAAATTCGAGAATTTACACAGCTTATACCGCTTTAAAATTAAATACTTGTAAAGAGGTCCATCGTTCTTTTAAAATGTTTCAAGCAAAATACCAACCATATTTAGCTACAAACGTTGAAGTTTAACAGAAAAAACTTTTAACGTTACATAGAATTTGATTTTTTAATTTGAAGTCGTTCATTCGATTTTTCTTGCCTTTAAAAGATCTTATAATTAGTAAAATGTAGATTTGTTGAATCAAATTTTTATTGTAGAATTTATCAGTAGTTTTATTCTTGGAGAAATAACCTTAGAATATTGTTAGTAATGCTTAATTATGAATATCATAGTTTCTTAAAGAAATGATTTTGGTGTAAAGTTTTTTTGTAAAACAATTGAAGTATTTAATGTCTCTTTATGTATCCTTTCTAGAATAAATTCTTTCTTACAATTTTGGGAATATATGTAAGTGGTAAGTAGAGTAATAATTTTTTAGTTTTATAGCTGTAGATATTTGTGTAAGTTTTCTAGTAGTAGTACGGTTTTAATGTTATTTTAAATATCGTAGGACTTTGAAATGTATTTTACTGTATGGGAAATATATAAATTCGTATTATCTACAGATTAGTATTCTTTTCCCCTCTCGCATTCCAATCTTTTTTATCAATCCTTCAAATAAATGTCATTGTAACGGGGGCAGGTAAAACTAGACATAGAAAAACTTTTCAAAGAAATTCAATTTTAGTAGAAAGATCGACGACAACATGAACATAAAATGAAATCAGTCAAGATAAATTCAATGAACTTGAGTCGAGGGATAAGGTAGTGTGTCCCACTTCATGTTTCATTCATTGATTCACGTAACGAGAGTAGCATTCATAATTCATGAATACAGAGAGTGAAAGTGGCACCTGGTCCTTGAGTTGAATTCCGTTTTATGATCACGCTTTTGTCGTTTGTTAATTATTGTATTTGTTAATTCAATCATAAATAATTTTTTTTGGTTTTGAGTATTATCTTGTATAAGTGATTTAAGACATATATGAGTAACTTTAGTTAATTTACATTAATAAAAATAATGTTTTAGTACATATTATCAACTCCCACGCACTCAGATTAATGTAATTA